CACTCTGATAAGCAAATGTTTCAGATTCCAAAATATCAAAAATAAACATCATAAAAGGGGACCTAGAGCCCAAGAGAGGAGAAGGAACCGACTTACGAGGTTCTCTGAATGAACTGACATTTCAAAAGCTCTGAAATAACTTAAAGAGATGATCATGGTACAGAGTTACACTACTGGTAACTTTTTAAAAATATTTTGAGAAGAAGAGAAGGGACAGAAAACCAAATATGTCAAAAAATCATAGTTTCAACAAGATGAATTCCAGACACTGCAGACAGCCCAGTGAGCAGCGGGTCCTCCAAAACATTCTAGAATAGATGATTCAACAGATGGTTTCTAAGCCTGTGGAAAAGAACACAGTGATCGTTGGGAGCCTGGATGAGTTCACAGATAACGCATTGTGCTGTACTAATATTTTTTGACATCTTTGGATTAATCACCAAGATACTGTGAAAATAGTATAACTTGATTTCAGTAAGAACAGGCAATGTGGGTAGGAGGAATGTGGGTGAATGAGAATATAAATGATGCATCTGTGGATCTGAAGGAGGATTTCTACTGGAGGGTCAAGTCTATCCTATGTGTCCTGTTTAGTCAAGACTTAAAGGTACAAAAAACACATCTGAAGATGAGACAGCTGGGAGGAATACCCAACATGACATCTGAAGTATGTCAACAGGCAAGACCACAGCTGAGACTAACGGGAAAGCAGTTAAATTATTCATTCAGTTCTTCATTGGCCAGAGGACAGTGAGGAGATGGAATAAACCTGGGGATTCCAGGCTCAGAGAGAGCCCAGGATGAGTTGTAGCTACAGGAATAGAGGCTGCTCATGCTGCACACGTGCCTCATGTGGGGCACAAACCAAGATTACCTGTCCTCTTATTTATCCCTTACAACTGTGCTCCAAGTGACAGCTGCCATTGTCTGATGGGTGAGGTGATAGAAGCTCAGAAGGCTGGGTAAATACACCACCCCAGGGTCATGCAGCAGGCCCCCATATGGCCAAGAGTCAACTCAGTCTGTGCAACCCTTGGCCTGTCGAGACAACAACACTACTGTCCACTCTAGGGGCTTTGGTCACACAATGGCAGAACTGCACCAAGTCTTACAGCAAATCATGTGAGACACTTGAAAAACTAGAACAAATCAGCCTGGAGAAGATAGGGAGGGGGTCATGAAGAGGCCCAAGCTCATTACCATGACCTACCAGACCACTGTGGTCCAGTCCCTGCTCACCTCTGAAGTCTCGTTTCTGTCCTTGTTCCTCCATGTTCCCTTTCTCACCCCAAACCCAGTCCTATGAACCTGCTGACAGTTGGTTGAACATCCCTTCTCTCGTACCCTGAGGCAGCTGTACCTCTCCTCTGTCATCCACTGGCCACCTCCACCTCTCCCCTACCCCGCCATCTTGGACCCAAGCCTGAGTCAAAGCCAGTCTTCTTGCTGCAGGGCTTGGGGTTATCAGCTGCAGCTCCTTCAGTGGACCACCCCACTGCTCAGTGTCAGAACCTCTGACTCACCCACCCTCTGGGAGGATTTAAAAACAAGGTATTTTAAGACCTTTATGCATATTAAATATATTATCAAAAATCAATGTACTAGTGATTTAATAAATCTAAAATACCATCACTAATAGACACCTTTTAAATGGGGATTTAAGATTGTTTCTAGAACTTCTGAAAATGGAATATGCTAGCATCTGTATCCCAGGAGAGAAAGAAAACAGCAGCACCTCCAGGAGGCAGACTCCCCCCGAAATATCTTCCCTCTTCTTTTCCAACATGATCAATGGGAGGCTCTGCTTTTGATATTATTACATGCATTTTGAGTTGAGGGTCTTTAGTTCTCTTTGTAAAAGACCCAAGCCAGCAATGAATTGCAAATTAAGAATTCTGAAAGTGCCAGCCTGAGAGGACAGAAAGTCTGATTTCAGTGACAGAATAGATCACCTGTCTTTGGAATTACTAAAATGATACCAAGCCAGAGGAAATGGGACATTTGTGAAACTATTTAGTCCTTATGATCAAATCGATGAAATACCAAATTCTCTATACACTAGTGCTTGGTAGAGTAAAATGCCCTCGCTAGAAGCATCCAGTCCCAGAGATGCCTTTATTTGGTCTATGTTTTTGTGTAGCCACAAGAGCTTAGTCTCCTATAAAGTAAACTGAAAAAGGCAAGATTGAATGGACCCTGCAACCTAGTGTTATCGGCTCAGAGCTCTGTTTAAAGTACTAGGCCTGCAGTCTGCCAAGGCATCTTAGAAAAGCCATACATGGTATGATTCTCTTCTCCCATCCTCGTTCAAACGATGTTTTACTGGACAATAAACAGCAGTCTTTATAAATAAGCAGAAAACAGGAGCTAGAGATGGCAGGATGGATGTGAAGACTAAGTTTTATACTCTAGAAGAATTGTACCCAAATCTAATTTTAGCCGTTAGTCCCACAGTAAGAGTTGGAAATGACCTTCAGAAGGAGAGTAAAGTAGTGGAGGAAATTAGCCACCTTTTTGATGTAGCTGTGGGTACTATGGGGCTTCTTACTGGGCATTCATCTTTCCCTCTATAGCCTTGCCCTGTGGTTAGAGCTGACCCTTCTTAAGCCAGTTTTCAGCTTCTTTGATGCTAGGAGTTGAAAATTATTTTCAGGATGATGGAAAAGCTTCTTTCAGTCCAATGCTACAACAGTAGTAGACATTTTCTGACATTTACAATGTTCCCTGTATACTGTGAGGAGAGGAACATTCCTTAATTAATAAAACAGGGGTCAGAGGGTAGCACAGTGGGAATGCAACAGAACCCACATAGGAAGGACCCAGGGTCACATCCTGAGGCCTCCTTGCACGTACCAAGAACACATGCATGCCCATGATCTGAACTGGCTGAGGCTGGGGGTGGATTATGGCATAATGACTCTGTTAGAGTTGTCTCCCTCTCTCTTTCAGGAAAAAAAAAAAAAAAACTTAAAAAAATAAAGATCTCCCCCCACACAAGTAGGCTCAGAACTTCTACTCAAACAACAAAAGCGCCCAACAACAAAAGCTCCCAACAGTGTCATCCACTTTTGAATCGCATCAAGGGTTAGAAAGCTTTGTTAGCGCAACTTATACTTACTGCTATGTTTTTCATGCCCCAGTGACTTGTCCACATCTTTCAAATACTCAGAGGTTTACCCCTCACCCCCAGACTAAATGCCCCAGCTTTCCTAGCTCTTCTTTGTCATTTTCAGACCCTTCAGCAGCTCTATCATGTGATGTTGCTCATGGTCTATCTGTGTCCCTCTAAAATGGGACCCAAACACTGGACTGTACAAAATGAAGGTCTTTTTCATTTTACCACTGTCTAAAGGTCAAGTACATGAGCTTTTCTCTCTGTACAGTTCTGGTGACCACCCTCCCGCCCCCAACACGCACACACACACACACACATATACACACACACACGCGCACACACACAGCAGGCTGCTTTCCTCCAACAAGCATGAATTTAGGGCTGAATTGTGATGTGGCGGTGATACATGAGGCTGTTAGGCTGATCTGCATGGGAAGGTTGTCAGTTCCCATCTGGAAATCTTGAGTACAACATGCACATATGTACCCATGATCTAGGCTCACTGTGGCTAGGGACGGATTACAGTGTCAAGACCCTGACAGGGGTGCCGTTTCTCTCACTCATGGGATAAGTAAATACAGCTTTTTAAAAAGCATTTATTGATGGTGATAAAATATGTTTTGGCAGGGAAGTATAGGACAGCTCTGTTCATCAGCCCAAACCCTACAGCTGAGTTCACCGAAGTATAGATTCAAATCAGTTTAAAGTGAATTTTTTAAAAAGATTTATTTAATTTTATTTGTTTTTGTTTTTTTTTTTATTTGCTATAGGGCATATGCACTCACCAGAGAGAGAGAGAGAGGGAAAGTGAGAAAGCAAGCCACCAGGTCCAGGACTCAAACTATGGACCAGCCATGTGTCCTTAATCAGCCATGAGTCCTTAACCAGCCATGATGCCTTAACCACCATGCCATCTGCTGGCTCCTAAAGAGAATTTTAATTCACTCTGTAGAACTCTACTTAGATCATTCAAACAGAAGAGCTGCTTGCTCCCAACTGCCCGTAGAGCTGAGGGAGCTCACCAGGATTTATATCTGTGATGTGATGATTTCAAATGTAGAGATTTAAACTATTGTAGAATATACTGGACCCACCTATACTGACTCAGAACAAAGCAACCTGGGAAATCCCTTTCCACTTTAATATTCTAAGTACTTGAATATAAATCAGAGATGTGATTTGAGCTTTCTTTTTGCACATTTTCTCATATGCTCTCATTTGAAGTAGACAAGTGGGCTAGAGTAGAGGGACTCAGAAGTTAAGGAAAAGCTCACAAATAGAGCTTTGGCGTTACCAATGCCAATGACGCCCTGCCACAGTGGAACGGGGGGTAAGATGCTGCTCTGAATGCTGGAGTCATGTGCAAATGTCTCAGAGAGACTGGTCTGCATTCCCTGATTCCCATTTACATTCCCTTTCCTGCTATCTCATTTTCAAGTAAAATGTCATCAATTGTAATCACCACAAACAGGCCCTCAGGTGTGGAGTACAGGCCTAAAGCATGACACTCAGGGAAGGCCTCTTGCAAGGTGGTTATTTGAGAAGCTGTATAGGCCAGCGAGGGTGGCAGAGCAGTACTGCAATGCTTCGCAATGCTGAAGCCACATGGAAGGTCCTGGGATTGTGTCTTGAGGTCTCTGTACACATAGCATGTACATATGCATATCTATGATCTGGGCTGGTGGGGCTGGGGGAAGCTTGTGGCATGAAGACCCTATTGGGGGTATACATCTGTCTTTATCTCTGTCTCTCATGGAAAAAAATAAACTTAGAAAGGAAAAAAAATATTTTATATAGATACACACATACACAGCATGAGACACACTGCATTTCTATAGATAACATCATTAAGCAGAAACATGGCAGAATTTGTTTGCTAGTAAAGTGGTTTGTTGAGATTTCAGGTTTTATTATTATTTATTTTTAGAAAAAAGAGAAAATTTACAAGATGCAAAGGTCCCACACAATACATTATCATTAATGATTGTTCTTTTTACACCTTAACATGGACCCTGACTTATGAACCAGTGTTGGAAAGAGCTTGAACAGCATGAAAGTGTTGGAGACCCATCATGGACACAAATACACCACAGTGAACTTGATGACAAATGATGTTGGGACAGCCTGTTTGAAAAGCAAGCCAAGACAGGGCAGGAACCAATACAGCCTTCCTGTGAGGGAGGCACGGGGGTTGCCCTCGGCCATGTACACTCCCCCACACGGGCACCACCCACTGCCTCAGACCACAGCAACAGAAAATGATAACAGTCCTTTGGTGTTTTTTTGTTTTTGTTTTTGTTTTTTGCAGGGCTATTCAGGTTCCTAATTTTTTCTTTCTATCTTCCTTTTTCACGTTTCAGTTTCAAATTCTTAAAGCAGTGTAGGTGCTTAGCATCTTGTTTTTCAGATCCAGTTCTGCCCAATGACAGTGCACTGAAAAGAAAAAAGAGAAAACATGTTATTAAAACAGATTGCAAAGTTTGCCCTTAGATCCTATTTACATGGCATATGAACATAACAAAATAGCTGAAGATACCCTTCCAAGATCATACAATATTTTAACATGACCATTTCATTTCACTGTGAAAAACATGCCATGTTGCCATGTAGAAGCCTAAATACCTCTCACCAAAGAGTCTCTGAGTTATTACAGCTCCATTCATATAGCTCAAAAAAAAAAAAAAAAAAAAACAATACTATAAAAAAACCCTAACAATAAAAGAGGGAGAAAGGAAAAAAGGATATATGAAACAACCAGAAAACAATTTTAAAAATGACAGATCTGGTCTTTACCTATCAATAATAACCTTAAATGTAAACAGATTAAATTCTCCAATCAAAAGATATAGACTGGCTGGAGAGATAAATAAAAAACAAACAGGGGATCAGCAGATAGTGTAATGGTTATGTTGTCGGACTCCCAGTTAGTCGACTGTGGTTTGAGTCCCGGACGCAGTGGCTTAAAACTCTTGCTGGGAGCATGTGTGTGCGTGCCTCAAATCCCAAGAGGCAAATGGAGGAGAAGGGACTGTGGTGTGGCCATCTCCCTGGGGGATGATTTCTTGCTTTCTGTTTCTTTGTCTCTGTCTCTCTCTCTCTCTCTGTGTCTCTCTGGAGAGCGCACCTGCCCTGTAGCAAAAACCTCTCTCTCAAAAAAAAAAAAAACAAGCCAAAAATATGCTGCCTATAAGAAACTCATCTCCTTAATACATACCCACATAGACAGTAAAAGGATTTTAAAAAGTTGTTCTGTACAAGCAGAAGCCAAAAGTTAACAGGAATATCAGATAAAATAGACTTTAAATCAAAACTGCAAAAAAAAGACAAAGTCATTATATAATGATAAAGGGATTTATTTAGCAAGAAGAAATAATGATTTAAATATATATGCACCCACCACTAGAGTACCCAAATCTATAAAGCAAATATTACTAGACCTAAAAGGAAAGACAGGTTCCAGTATAATAATAGTTGGAGACTTCAACACCCTACTCTCAGCACTGGACAGATTATCTAGACAGAAAATCAATAAAGAAACCTTGGATTTAAACTGCACTATAGACCAGATGGATCTAGCAGACATTTACAGAATAGTTCATCTAACAGCTGCAGAATACACATTAGCACATAGAACATTCTCCAAGATATACCAGCTGCTACGCCAGAAAACAAATCTCAAAAATCATATTGAGTACCTTTTCTGACCACAATGGAATAAAACTAGGAATCAATAATGAGAAGAATTTTGGAAACCATATAGTACATAAAAACTAAACACCATACTCTTAAAACAACTATTGGGCCAATAATAAATTAGGAAGAAAAAGAATTAAAACCTCTGGAATATGACAAAAGCAGTACTAAGTGAGAATTTTAAAGCAATAACTGCCTACATCAAAAAATGTAATAAACCAAGACCAGCAGATGGCTTAATGGTTACATTGCTGGAATTCCAAGTAGTCGATCATGGTTCAAGTCCCTGACCCAGCGGCTTGAAACTCACGCTGGGCATGTGTGCGTGTGTGCCCAAATTTCAGAAATGAGAATGAAGGAGAAAGGACTGCGGAGTGGCCAGCCCCACTGGAGGGTGATTTCTTGTTTTATGTCTCTTTGTCTATCGAGCACATGTGCTCTATAACAAAAATCTCTCTAAAAGAAAAAAAGTGTAATAAACCAAGTAAAGCACTTAAAGGAACTAGAAAAGTAAGATCAAAATAAACGCACAAGAGCAGTTAACAAAAGACAATGTATTAGCTAAAAAAAAGAAGACCCAAATAAAATTAGAGATGGAAAAAGAGACAGTACAACTGATACCACGTAAATACAAAGGATCATTAGGGACTGTTATGAACAACAATAGGCCAACTAATTGGAAAACCCAGACAAAATGATAAATTCCTGGACATATAACAATCTATTAAGACTGAATCAAGATGAATTGGAAAGCCTGAATCAAGAAATAGCTGGAAAAAGTATATTTTTTAAAATTCTGTTTATAATAGCTATGAAGAAAATAAAATACCTAAGAACAAATTTAACCAAAGAGATAAAATATCTCCATAATCAAAATTGTAAAAGAAATTGAAGATGCAAAAAATGTTCATGGATTGGAAGAATCAATACTGTAAAAATGGCCATACTACTAAAAGTAGGTTTGATGCAATACCTACCAAATTACCAATCACATTATTCACACAAATATTTAGAAAAAACAATCACTAAAGACTCTGAAGAGCTAAAGAAACCCTTAGCAAAAAGAATGGTGCTGGACACATCACACTACCAGATTTCAAATTATACTGTAACCAAAACAGCATGGTATGGGAAAAACAAAACAAAACACCACACACACACACACCATGGAACAGAGCAGAGGACTTAAGAGATAAATTCACATCTGTATAGTCAACTGATTTTCAACAAAGGTCTTAGAATATTCATCAGGAAGAAATCTCTTCAAAAAATGGTATTAAAAAATACTGGGCACATCTATATGCAGAAGAATCAAGCTAGATTTGTATCTCTCACCATATAAAAAAATAAATTCCAAGTGGATTAAAGCCTTAAACACAAAACCTGAAACTAGGAACCAGCAGGTGACATGGTAGTTAAGGCACTGGACTCCCACATGGCTGACCATGGTTCAAGACCCAGACTTGGAGGCTTGGTTAGTCTCTCTCTCTCTCTGGTGAACACAAATGCCCTATAAGAAATATAAAAACGATAATAATAAACAAATTTCTTAAAAACCTGGTACTATAAAGCTACTAGAAGTGTGGGGAAAACTTTAGTTTAGTACACTGGTAAGAGCAAAGAGTTCTTGCATAAAATCTGAAAAGCGGGGACAATAAAAGCAAAACAGACATATAGGATTATATCAGCCTGAAAAGCTTCTGTATAGCACAGGAAACAATAAACAGAAAAGACAACTCACAGGATGAGAGAAAATATATGCAAACTACATATCTGACAAGGTATTAATAACCAAAATACACAAAGGACTCAAACATTTCAACAGCAAAAAAATAAATAAATAAAAATAACTCAATTAAAAAATGGTAAATGACCTGAATATTCAATTCTCAAAAGAAGACATACAAAAGGTAAACAAACATAAAAACATGCTCAATATGATAAATCATTAGGGAAATGCAAATTGAAACCACAATGAGATATCATCTTGCCCCATTTAGAACGGCTATTATCAGAAAGACAAAAAATAACAAATGCTGGCAAGAATGCAAAGAAAGGGGAACTCTATTACGTTGTTAACGAAATGCAAATTAGCACAGCCATTATGGGAAACAGTATGGAAGTTTCTCATAAAACTAAAATTAGAAGTCCCTTATGCTCTAGCAATTCCCCTTCCAGATATGTATCCAAAGGGAAGGAAATCAGTATGTCACAGAGGTATCTGCACCCCAAAGTTTATTGCAGCATACAGCCAAGATATAGAATCAACCTACGTACCCACCAAATAAAATTGCCACAACCCACCCTACAGACACACACAAAATGTAATACTATTCAGCCACTGAAAAGAATGAACTCATTTGAGGTAACATGGACAAGCTCAGAGAACATTAAGTTAAGAGAAATAACCCAGGCACAAAAGAAAAAAGAGAAAATGACATGTTCTCACTCATGCGTGGAAACTAAAAAAGTTGAACTCACAGAAGTAGAGAGTAGAATAGCGATTACTAGAGACTGGGAAAGGTCGGGGAGAAGGGGGAATATGGACATTGGTTAAAGGATGTAAAATAACAGTTAAATAAGTTGAGTAAGTTCTAGTGTCCAACAGCACAGTAGGGTAACTACACTTAACAGTAATTTACTCTATATTTCAAAATAGATAAAAGAGAGGATTTGAATGTTCCCAAAACAAAGTAAGGATAAATATTTGAGATGATGGATATACCGATTACTCTGATTTGATAATTATACATTATATTCATGTACTGAAAAATCACACTGTTCTCCGTAAATATGTACCATTATTATACATCAATTTAAGACATTTAAAAAGATACCAAACTGGGGCTGGCTGGTGGTGTGGTGGTTAAGGCACTGGACTCCAACATGGAGGATTATGTTCAAGTCCTGGACCTAGCAGCTTTCCCTCTCTCTCTCTCTCTCTCTGAAGAACTAAAAAATAATAATAATAAATAAAATTAAATAATTCTTTTTTTTAAAAAAGACACCAAACCAAATATCTGAACACAATTCTAAATGGTCTTTGCTTCAAAGAGAAGTCACAAAGCATATCAGAAAACATTTTGAAGTAAATGAAAATAAATGCATCCAAATTTGATTAAAAATGTATCCAAATTTTATATTCATCTAAAGCAGGGCTTAGAGGGAAATTCATAGTATTAGATACTTATATTAGACAATGAAAAAGCTGTCAAATCAATCATTTGGACTTTTACTTGAAGAAACTAAAAGGAGAAAAGCAAAGTAGACTCAAGATGAACAGAAGACAGTAGTAATAAAGATTGGAAACCAATAAAGTTTCAAATGGAAAAAGGAAAATATATGAAAAGATCAATAAAATGGATAAACCTCTTGTCAGATTTAACAAGAAAAAAGAATAAAGATACAAGTTTATTAATACCAGGAATCAAAGAGGCAACACAGCACAAATCTTAACATAAAAAGATAACAAGGATAACTTTACCCTCCCAAATTAGATTACACAGATACACTAAATAAATTCCTTTAAAAACGGATACAAAAGTTCCATTTCCAAATCCTTGTAACAGTGAGGGAGGTAAAGAATGGGGAACTAGGGAAAACACAGGGACAGGGAATAGACTAAATGCTTATTCTTGGGGTATTTTTGAATACTGCTCAAAGGATATCTGGTCATTTGGTATAAAACGTTCAATGTCTCAGGTTTCTTTTCATAATTCTGAGGCTACAACAAAAAACAA